AACTGTTAGATGGCCTTTCTCTCACATGACTTCCTGTGCATCCTTCTGGACACTTCTTGGCCTCTGAGCCAGCACTTCAATGCTTCTCTTCCCTTTGCCTGGCATCTAAATCCAGGCGGGTCCCATCTTTTCCCCACCCCAATCCTCCCTAAGTCGCCCCCTCAGTAAGCAGCACCACGGTCTGCCCACGAGTGCCAGCTGGGAATCTAGAACCCAGCCTGAGTTCCCTCCCAGCTCCCTCAGCCCCTGACCCTGCCCATCTACCTCCCAAACCTCCTGTCACTGCCACGTGCCCACAAGACCACCAAGAGCTTTGGCCATTTTTGAAGCCCTGGCCACAGGGATTTTTTTCTCAGTCCCACTCCTGTCTCTACTGAAAGCCTTAGAGTGGCTGCAGGATAACGTGCATATTCCTGCAAGGGCCCAGGAGGCCCTGCCCAGGTGGGGCACGCTCCACTCCTGAGCCCCAGCCTCAGGTCTTCTCTTGCTGGCCTCCTATCCAAGAGGGGCGAGTCCCCAAGGACCATGGCTGTGCCTCAGTCCTCTCTAGATCTGGAGGCTCACCAGGGCTTGGCAGGTATTCAGTTAGTTCATGCCGAATGAATGAGTGAATGGTCCTGGAGGATCATGGTGGGAAAATGCCTGCTGGGAGAACTAAGAGCAGGGGTGGGGTTCCCTTGGTGGGGGCAGGACCAACTCCCTACCCTGGACTTTGTTGGGGGTGGAGCGCCAGGGAGACCCACAGCTGCCTCTTGAATAAAGCACCATGGCAGGGAAGGTGGTATTATTGCACCCATGGCACAGGGAAGGAAACAGGACTGGAGATGCAAAGTGACTTGTGGAGGTAACAGCGAATTAGGGCCACGAGTGAGGCCAGGGAGCAGCCTGTCTCTGGCCAATGTCCTAGTTCCTAGCTGGGTAAGTCCCCTGCCCCCATCATCTGTGCCCCTCCCCCCATATGCCCCTGCAACTGGGAACTTGCTGGGAGCTGGAGGAAGGATGGGCAGATGGGCCACCTGGCAGGCGCCCTGGCTGCGGGGGTCATCTGTCTCCTCAGGATATGTCAGGACCTGGGCAGTCTCCTTCCTTTTTGGTTCTGGGCCCTGGGGTGGTGGCCCTTGGGCAGACCTAAAGAACCCTGGCTCATAGGTAAAGGGCTCATAGGTAAAGGCCGCTCCTCTGCCCTCCCCAACACACACCCTCTGTGCACTCTGAGCCAGACCCTGGGCCAGATGCGAGGTTCAAAGGGCGAGGCTATTCCCCCACCTTCAGGGGCTCCGCTCAGACGGGCAGGCACCCTTCCACCGTCACCAGGACAGAGAATGTGGAGAGGCCCGGAAGTGCGCCACCGAGAGCCTGCGCAGGAAACGGAGGGACGCCGGGAAGGAAGAGCGCTGGCATCCAGCCACCCATCCCAGAGAAGCTGCCTGAACCGCTGGCAGGGGCGTAAGACAGAAGACAGGAACCTGCCGCGGTCCCCAGCCCCGCCCGCCGGGTGCCGTTCTCCACCCTGGCCACAAGGCGGCGGGCTGCCGCTGCAGGAGCCCGAGTGAAGGCGGCGCAGACCCACGGAAGCCGATCCAGGACGACCCAGACCGTCTGGGTGGACCCCCTGCTTCTGCCGAGCGCTTCGAAGCCTTACCTCGTTTACAACGCTTACGACGCTTACAAGGCTTACAGCGCTAATCCTTAGGTATTGTGCTTACACCCGAGGACGCTGGGCCTGGGGGAGCGTCCTCGGGTGTAAGCTAAGTGGCTGTCAGCAGCTGGCAGGTGACCCAGCAGAGTCCAATTCGCCTTTCCCTAGCCTCAAAACCTGAGCTCTGCATTGTAACGAGATGGGCGGATGGAAGACCCAGCAGCGGGCCTATGGGGACGTGCCTCCTTCGACTGGGCATTCCGGACTCAGTCCTGGCACATGATAGGCATCAATGTTCGTGGTAACGACATCAAGTACAGCGAAATAAATCAGGGGCTCCCAAGGTTCAGAGGTCATCCGTCCACTCCCTCCCTTTAGGCTAAAGAACAAACCGAGACCCTGAGAGAGGAAGAGAACCGGCCCTAGATCGTCACACAACCAGTGGCAGATGGAAGAACGGTTCTAAGCATACTTTCCCCCCCTCGGGGTGCCCCTCCCTTTAAAGCTCCTAAAGTTCAAAATGTCGGGGTTGCCCAGAGTGTTCTGAGAATGTAAGAGTGTTTTTAAACGTGCTCTATTTTCGATTTCCCAGATTAACACAGCTGGATTCTGAAGAGGGGAATAAACAACCTCACCATAACCGGATTTCTTTCTGAAGCAAACCCATCAAGAGTTCTTTCAAAAAAGGAACTAAAATGCTGGAAGCACCCTCAGAGAGAAGCAGACGCCTGACTTTCACATCCACCCTCTCATCTGACCCCAGGGAGACCGGCAAGGCGGTTGAGCAGGCTGTAGGCCCGCGATACCCCCCTTCCGTGCCCAGATGCGCTTCTGAATACGGAACAGCTGGGATTTGGAAAGATAATATTGGGCACACACCTGCTGTAGGTTACATAACCTCCCAGCAGGGCTTGGGGCAGCAGCCGACCATCGAGCTCATTTGCATTTCTGCAGCAAAACATGAATATTCACACAAGCGCGATAAATAAAGACCATCAACAGCCTCACATCAGTTCAAGCGCAAAACCTTTGGGCTTCCAGGGAGCTTTGGAGACTAGGAATTGCACATGAGGGACTGGGGGTCTCCACCGCTCACGTTTCCCTGTTGGGGAGAGAAGCTCATCCGAAGTCTTCGGACAGAGGTGGGCGTCGTGCCCGACGCTGAGCGGAGCGGGTCTGCTGGTTTCCCTGCTCCGTGCTGACGTGGTCCCCAGCTCGCCTCCCCGCCTCTGCGCCCCGGGGGTCGTACCTGCTCCCCGCTCTTCTCCCGCGGCGGGCCGCGCACGTCCTGGATGGCCTCGTAGATGTTCTCTGAGTCGCTGCGCGCCAGGGGCCGCGGGCACACCCAGGAGCCCGCCACGCTGCAGGCCTTGAAGCTGCCGCTGCTTCCAAGGAGGCCGGCGGGAGGCGAGACGGCTGTGCGCGCCAGGTCGTCCAGGGACTGCGCGGGCCGCACGGGCGCTGCGGGCCGCAGGTACAGGCAGGCGGGCAGGCCCGGCGCCAGGCTGCTGCGCTGGGTCGCAGTGCAGCGTTGCGCAGGGCCGCACAGGGAGCTGGCGCGGCCTCGGGGCTCCGCTGGGGCGCCGTTGGGGTCCCCGGCCCCCGCCGCGCTCAAGAACCGGTAGTCATAGGCCAGCGGCTCGGGGGCCGCGGGGCCCGGGTAGGGACCTGGAGGCGGGGCGGCGGCAGGGTTGCCCAGCGCGGGCAGCTCGCGGACGTACTGTGCGGGCAGGTAGAAGGGGCGGCCACCGGGCTCGCGCCGCACGTGCCACCAGTGCTCGGTGCTGCGCCGCAGCAGCCGGTAGCGCTCATTGGGCCGGATGGCCACGCGGCGCCCGTCCTTGCCGGTGTACTCGAAGGGGTGCTCCACCAGCACGTACACGTCCCCCTCCACGTCCGCCGCCATCGCGGCCCCGGCGTTTTCCTGTGGGCAACAAGGAGGAGGGCCGCGGAGGTCAAGACCACCGAGCCCGGAATAGCCCGGAACTCGAGGACAGACTTGGGTTTGAGTCCCGATCCTGCACTCGCCGTTCGCCTTCGGACCTCAGTTTTCCCATCTCTAAAATGGGGACTTGCATAAAATCACATCTAAGGCTTCTATTCTTACACTTGCATCTAAGGCATCCATTCTTAAACTCAGTGCTGGAATTAGGACAACCCCTTCGTTCCGTGGGGTTATTTATAAGATTTGAGCCTCGCTTCAGACCTGCGGTGGGAGATTATGGCTAGTCTTGGTCCAAATAGACTGTAAGAGAAGCCTTGGCTTTAAAACGAGGGGTGATTGTCCTCTCTAAGGCCGACACCACGCTTGCTTATTAATAGTTGACTGAGCCTTAGTTTTCCCGTCAGTCAAGTGGGAAGACAATCCTGCTGCTTCCCGGGCCTGTCCTGCCTGGAGGCCTCCCGCCCGCAGAGAATCCGCAAAGGGTCCCGTGGCACCGCCTCCCTCCAGGAGCCTGCGCTCCCGCCCCAGGTCAGGGTTGGGATGCGGGCTCTGCAGGCGGCCGGGCCAACAACTCTATCTGGGGGCTGTCCCTGCCCCGCTTAGTCCAAGGGCCTTGGTGTAGGGGCCTCCGCTGCCAAGGCGGGGTAACCGGTTCTCTGGGTTTCTCTTTCCTTCCCCAGAGGCTTCACCGCAGACTTGAGCCGGAGCCCGGCCCGCCCAGCCCGGCCCGCACCGCCCCCTGCTCTCCTGCTCTCAGGCCGCCTCCGAGAAAGGCCCCGCCCTTGCGGCCTGCCCACCTGCCCTGTGACCTCTACAGTGTCCCCACGAGAGTGGCCCCTGGAGAATGCACTCTGAGACAGTGACTATCCGTGCGGAGTCCCAGAGCAGGGGCCCTCAAAGCTCTCCCGAGTGGTCACAAGCCCCGCTCCCGCCCCGGCTCCGGTGTGTTAGGGATGGGGGAGGGCCTAAGTAAATGGGCTTGCGCCCCTCCACCAAAGCCACGAGTCGGTGCCTGGGCCCGCCAAACTCCCACACTGACCACACCTCCTCCTTCCCCCTAAAGTGGCCCGGGCCAGGGGACCGGAGACCACCGCTTGCCGAGGCTGAGGGACCGAAGGAGCAGTGTCCAACGGTGGCCCCCACAGGGCTCCTCCTTCGCCACTTTCTCAAGCGTTCCTCGACGAGGAAAGGGTGTAAACTGAGTCACTAAGCACACCGGACCCCGGAGGCGGGGCCATCGAGCTGCCCAGAGGTGGGCCAACAAACCCCAAGGAGGACACTCCCCCGGCGCCCTTTCCCCCTGGACCCCGCGGCGCACTCACGTCGGCTGTGGGGGCCTCAGGGAGCCCATGGGCTGGGTGGGAGGAGCCGGTGGTGGCGGCAGGTTAGGCCCCTACCATTGCCGTGGGCGGGGCTTCCAGGGGCGAGGCCGGAGATGCTGCGCCGAACCGGAGCTGGCAAAGGGAGCGAAGAGGGACAGGGACGCTCAGGCGTGCAGTCACCGATACCCAAAGCAGCTGTGTCTGGGCAGGGCAAGGAGGAGCCTGAATGCCTCTGCTGGGGACCTTGGGGGGCACTGGGACAAGGCCCGGAGCAGAAGGCCAGGTGGGCTGCGACTGAAGGTGCGCTGGCCGGTCACGAGCGGAACCCATGGAGAGTGGGGCCGCCCCTGCCCCGCCTTCCCCCAACCCCCCCGGCGATTTGCTGTCCACGCGTCCCTCCGGCGCGCGAGTCTGGGAATGCCGGGCTGGGGCTGGTTGACTCGTCCGGGCGTTCCCGTTCTCGGGGAGGTAATTTGCACCCTGAATCACCTACTGAGAGCCCTTCCAACTGGATTGCAGACCCGCCCGCTCCGGGCCCACCTTCTCCCTCACCAGGGCCTTTCCGGGCGCAGCCCGGCCCGGCCTGGAAAAACTCCGAGCGGGATTCCCAGCGCAGGGACGACCACCGGAGCGCAGCGTCTTAGGCTAGATAAGAAGGGGACCGGGCCTTGCTCCTTCCCCGACCCTGGGGAAACACAGAGAAGGGGAAGGATTCGGGGAGCCTGGAGGAGCACTGGATCGCGAGAACGCACCCGTCGCCAGGTCCCCTGCGTCCACTGCCCAGGCGACGCAAGCTACAGGGGCGTCAACGCCTGGGTCGGCGCTGAGGGCCTGGGCCGGCGCTGAGGGCCTGGGCCTGCTCGCTTCCCGCCCCAGATAGAGGGCAGCCCTTCGCCTACCTTCTCCTCCCCGTGGGATGCGGCCCGCGCAGCTCCCGCCCCAGCGCGGAGACAAGGGGAGCAGGCGCGCCGAGCTCCCGGGTGCGGACCCGCCACCTGCCGCACCCTTCCCTCCCCCACCCTGCCCCTTTCCCCACCCTCACCCCACCTCCCACCCCAACCCCCGCTCGGCTCCCCACTCCCGACCCTGCCTGCCCGGGCACCTCGGGGCGTCTGCTCACCAGCGTCGCCTCCACTTGTCCCGGCAGGCGCGCGTGGGATCGCCGTCCCGCGCTCCCTCCTAGACCGCGCGGCTCCCGCGCTACCCGGTTTCCTGTTCAACAATATCACCAGGGAGGCACCGGCGGAGAGCGCCCAGCAGAACTTCCTCCCGGACTGGGGCTGGGCTGAGGTTGCGAGAGACAATCCCCGGTGTCCTGGCTTCCTGTCCCCTCTGGGCCGGGCCGGCGCCTGAGAAGCGAAGACGCCACCCCCTCCCCTGCACTTCCCGGGATCCTGGGCCACACCTGGCTGTCTCCAGGGAGGAGGAGGCCACAGGGCTGAGATGGTGGGACTGGGGAGGGCGGGAGCCAGCCCCGAAGCTTCTTCTGGCCAGATTGCCCTCCCACCATCCCCCACCCCCTCTTGATCCTCGTCGGGAAGGAGGGCCACCCTCCAATCCGTCCTCAGGGTAAGCTCAGAATCCAGCCCCAGGGCCGTCTGCCTTGGGGTCTTCTGTTTGGAACTTATCTGCCTCTCTGGACAGGCAGCCTGGCCCCTCTGACCTGACCCTGCACTCACTCCAGATATCACAAGCCCCAGCCCCAGCAGACCCCCTACCCTCAGGGGCCCCAAGGATGAAGTTGTGCCTGTGGACCTAGCTGTGTGTGCTGAGAGCTGTCTGAGTCAGGCCCGTGTTCTGGGAGGAAGATGGGCTGCACCCCAGGCCATGGCCCCTCTTGACACCACCTCCTGGGGGTCCAGGGTTGGTTGGGAAGCTGAATCTGGCTATGCTCCTGGAACTCCCTTACTCCTGCATCTTTGCCCCTGCTAGGCATTGCCCACCCGTGAGTCCACACTTCCTCTGAGAATCTGTTTGTCTGAGGCCTGGTGGCATCTGGGGATCCTCCAGGAACTCAGCATTGGTCTTTGGTGCCCGACATGCTTAGAAAATAAGTTACTGGAGGAATCTTCTCTCCACTCACTTCACTGGAAGATTAAATGAGGTCCACTAAGCAGTGCTTACCACATGCCCCAGTGCACACAATATATCAGCCTTTTTTTTTTTTTTTTGGAAACACAGTCACTGTTGCCCAGGCTAGAGTGCAGTGGCACAATCTCGGCTCACTGCGACCTCCACCTCTGGGTTCAAGTGATTCTCCTGCCTCAGCTTCCTGGGTACCAGCCATCATGCCCAGCTAATTTTTGTATTTTTGGTTTTTTAAAAATTATTTGATTTTTTTTGTGGGGGGGGGGGACGGGTTTCTGGCAAAAACCGGAAAGCCTGCTAGACAAATTCTAAAAGAACTACTACACTAATTTTTGTATTTTTGTAGAGACAGGGTTTCACCATGTTGGCCAGGCTGGTCTTGAACTCCTGACCTCAGGTGATCCAACCGCCTCCAACTCCCAAAATGCTGGGATACAGGCGTGAGCCACTGCGCCCAGCTATATCAGCTATTATAACTGCTTATATTATGTGATGAGCTCTTAGGGGTTGGATTGGTATTTCCAAAACGCCTGTCCTCCTTCAGGCAGAAAAGATGGGGAAGTCCCAGGTACTCAGGAGGCTGAGGCAGGAGGATTGAACCTAGGAGGCAGAGGCTGCAATGAGCTGAGATCATGCCACTGCACTCCAGCCTGGGCCACAGAGTGAGACTCTGTCTCAAAAAAAAAAAAAAGAGGTAGGGGAGAAGGGGAAACAATAGAGGCGCTTTGCTGAGGATGGAGAGGGGCTGAGCTGCCGGCAGGGCAGCACCAGGTTGTGCTGTGGTCCTCCACTGGGCCTCCTCCCCAAGTTTCTCTTCTCTTCTCTGGGCCTACCATCTACTGTACTGGAGGGAGGTGAGGCCCTTGGGGGAAGCTAGGGCAGAGGGTGCCACCCTGTCTTCTGAAAGGGGCCTTCAAGGACAGGAAATTACAGACCTGAATGTTGTCTGTTTCTACCCCATTTCACTGCAACCTGATTTCCCTGAGAATTAGTCTGTTTCCTGCTCCTGTTCTTACAATGGACAGTGGTGTGGGCCTCCCCTAGGAGGGGTCCTCTGGGCTTCTCCTGGAACTTCTGAGGAAGATCAGCAGCCAAGTAAGTCATTTTGAGCCCTAAAACTATGACCCCTGAATTGGTGGCTCTGCTTAAATAACCAGTCCTTCCCGAGCCCTCTCTCTCCTTTATTTCTCCGCTGAGAAATGTCCCCTGTATTCCTGAGGTTTCACATGATCCAGTGTCAAGGGTCTGTGCTTTGACATTTAAGTCACAGGAAAAGAAGCCACCAGTGTGGGATCTGCTTGAGTTGTTATACAAGTGTGAGTCCACCTCCCAGAGATCCTGAGATCCTACCCCAGGGAGACCCCAACTGCTGGGCGTGGCAAGGTGGCTTTCTCACTCTCCCTGCCCACTCCTGGCATGCAAGCTCTCTGCCTACAAGTGTTTGCCACCGACCTCCCAAGCCCTCCCCTGTGCCAGGGACTGACTAACAGGAGGGTGGGGGGCCCTGTCAGATAGTAATGCATGGCTGGTGGTCTTCCCCCAGGAAGTGGCAGTGTTAGAATTCAGAAGTCAGACCAGTGATGAGAAAGATCAGGCCTTTACTGCAAAATCATTCAAAACTCACACGGCAGTAATTCCGTCAACACATTGCAAAGACTCCTCAGGGCCAGAGCCCTACTCACAATGAACAGTGTATTGCATAAAATAACATTTTAAAAATAGTGTGGGCACTACCTTTTGCAGGGGGGAAGAGTCAGCGCATCTGAAAGCACTGGCCTCTTCTGGGGAACCGGCCCCCCAGGGCCTCATCCCTGCTGCCTCTGAGGGCACCTTCCGGAAGAATCTGCACAGGCCCAAGCCCTCCCACGTCAGGCTCCTGCCCACTCAGGGATGGGGCAGTGAGGGCTCTGATCAGGCCGGGCTTGTGTTGGAGCATTATGTGGGCCATGGCGGGTGCATAACCCAGCTCCCAGCTTAGGAGGTGTTGGTGTCTGGGCACAGGTGCGCGCCATGACCGGGAGAAGTTGTGTGCAGCCTCCACCTGCCTGCCACCACTGCCTCTGTTCTGCTGCACAGGCATCTAGCTCCAAGGCTGGGTGGGTGACTCAGCAGCTGATCGCCCCCAAGGAGGGGTGGGCGTGGGCTCATCTCTGACAGTGACAGGTGGATCTCCACCTGAGGCCTCAGACTCCAAGCTGAGCACAGGCAAGACAGCCAGACGAGGGCCTGCTGGGGCCTGCTGGGTCCAGGAGACGTGAGGGAAGGTGACAGATCAGCAAACCCACATTTCTCTGAAACCTGGAGGGTCTGAACATCACTTTGCAAACAATTCCAGGCTCCCACCCCAGCCCCAAGGCGCCTTCAAAGGCAATCCTGCTCCAGGAAGTGCTGTCTCCAGTGTCCTGGCTGGGCAAGTTCAGTGGTGCTTTGGGAATTCATGGCTTTGTGAGGCCGAGGCTGTATCCGCAGGGCAGCTCCCCACACGCCGTGCACAGCTTAGGGCGATGGACCGGGTCACTTCACAGTGCAGGGCCCGGCTACCTGACATCTCTGGGGTCCTGCCTATTTGTGTTCCGGCAGGGGTCAGTCAGGCAGAGAGTGTGACCCTGAGCGCCCACCAAGGTGGGCCTGGAGCATCTGCGGCAGCGCCCTTGTCTGTAGAGGGGTGAGGACGGCACGGGGATCGGGGGTGGGCAAGGCGGCATCCTCCCTAAACCCAGGAGGGCTCAAAGTGCTGACAGTGCTGGTTTCAGTCATTTCTCCTTCTCCTAATGGGGCCAAGGCCCCAGGCTAGAGAAGAGCTAGGGGCTCCCACGCTGAGAAAGGGATGGGCTCAGAAGGCAAGACGCAGTGGGGTGGGGAGTAAAGAGGAGACAGAAGAGAAGCGGGGTTACCAGGACTGGCCCTGCCCTGCCAACGGGAGGTTTGGCACTGGCAGTGAGGGCCAAGGAAAGGCACCGGGTGGGCCCACAGGCCCTGTCCCAGCAGTGGCCTGCCCGCCTGCCACCCACTGCCTCCGGGCCAGGCCTGAGTGGCTCCTGTGCATCCGCTGGGAGTGAGAATGTCTGGATTTCTTGGGTGACTCGTGTAGGGTCAAGAATAAAAAAATACTTTCTATTGAAATATGGATGGGAAAAACCCACCTTAAAAAACTAGACCTTTTAAATCAGAAATGTGGAATTGAAAATGCTCCCAAGTCTCCATTCCACAGTGTGTAATTGGCCCTAACGGAGGTGCCGGGACACTGGTGAGCCAGGGCCTGGTAAATAAAAGGCCCGTCTCCCCCGAGACAGGGAGCATCTGGTGGTGTCCTCGCCTCCTGCAGCAGAGGGGTGGTGGGAGGGCCAGGGCACATCACGGGGGTTTCCTGGGCTTTCTCTGGGAGGCCGGTGCTCTGGTCACATCTGAGGGTCTTCCTGACAAGGGGACACAGCTGTGACATGGTGAGTATCCTGAGCTGATGGCAAAACCAGCTGGGATGGCTGAGCCACACTCACCCCCGGCCTTCAGAGCAGGGTCTGCAGATGGGCATCAGGTGAAAACGTTTTGTTCCTGGTACTTGCGCCGGCGGGCACAGCG